TCTCCCCCTGCTGCCTGGGAACCCACAAATCATCACGAGGGCTGGGAGATTCCCAGAGCAGAGGCAATGTGCTCAGAAAGGGCGTGGCCCTAAATATTCCCGAATGCCACCATGTCAGGCCTTGATGGTGCAAGGAGACCCTTTCAGCCATGTAGAGCCCTACTCACTACAGGTTTAAGTGACAGAGTGGCAGATGCTATTGCAGGAGTAGGGCCAGCAACTGAAGGCTTTTTTTTTTTTTTTTTTTTTTAGTGCGGGGAGAGCTGGTATTCCTGCATGTGCTGACAGGCTGGAATGGGGCTGCACAGGGCCACAATGCTGCACCCCTCCCAAGTTCCCTTCTTCATCAGAATCTCGGTTTACATTTCAAAGGAAAGCCAGCCTTTAGCCCTTACACTTACTGCAAAACGTGACAGGGAGGAGAGAGGCAGGAGTTGGGGAATATTTTGAGTTGGAGCTTGCAAGCTGTTTAGCACCCATCACAACCAGAATAACTGACACAGTGCTGCCTGCCTGAGTCTGCAGAGAGCCTGAGACAATAGCTCTGAAATGGTCCATAACTATCACTGGCTGAGGAGTCATGACAACATCAGATGACCTTATTGCAGCCCAAAGGGACTGAGACCTCTCGGCTCAGAGCCAGATGGGCTGGAGAAGCTGTACAGGAGAGACGTGCTCTTGGCAGGAAAACGTGTAGACGGGAATGCAGTGTCTTGTGGTGCTGCAGCCCAGGCCCCTCCATCACTGGCTCATGCAGCCAAGAGGGCAGGTGCAGTGTGAGACAGAGGGAAATGCCTTATTTTGCGGGGGCCCAAAGTAACTGGCCTGATGTCTTCCATGCCTGGTGGAGCAGCTTGGAGAGTGCCTGGGCCCCTTGAGCTGGGGAGAAGTGGGGTGGACTGTGTAACATAATCCCATGCTGACCTGGAGAGATCCAGGGATTCGATTCCAGGCCTTCTGCTCCTAGTTCTGTGCTGGAGCATTGAGGTGTGCAATGGCTGTGAGGAGAGTGCCCCTTTTCAAGCTCCCACTTTGCACCCTGGGTTTCCTGGGTTGTCTTTCACACAAGGCCTGGCCCTGTGGCTGTGGGGAGCTGTGGGCATTCAGGGCTGCCTGTTGCTCTGGGGGCATGTGTTTCCTTCCCTTGGCAGCTGGGCATATTTACAAGACTCATGTACTGACTCGATTGTGTGTGGGAGAGAGGGAACCGGGGGGGGGGGGGGTTGGCTAGGCCCAAGGTGGTGACAGGAGGCTCTCATAATTGTCACATGGGCTAACTGCACCACTGACTCTACAGGTCTCTCCGAGTGCGGTCTCTTGGGGTGGAATCAGATAATTTTCCCACTCTCGGACTGGGTGCTGGTTTGCAGTCTACTGTGTATCCACTGTGATTACTTCATGAGGTCTGACTTAGACTCAGACCCTGCAGTTCTGTTCCCTCTAGGGAAATGACAGCAATGCAAGGGATTATTTATTTAGAATAAAAGCACTTCAAAGAAAATGTGTCTTAAAAACAATAAAACAGCCTCTGTGCATGCCTGCTTACAAAGTGCCTAACCACGTTCCATGGGCAACCCTGGACAGACTGATTCCCTATGGACTCCTCCACGCTCAGTGTCAACTTTTCTGCCCCTCAGACTTTATTGACACTTCCTGACAACTCACTCCTCTTTGCATGTGTAACCCTTCTGCCCGTCAGAGTTGGCAGCAATAAGGGCCAAGTTCAGTATCTAGGGGCTCCATTCCAATAACACAATGCAAAACCGGCTCGAGCCCCCACCCAGTGACCTGGGACAAATATATACCACCCCCACTGGGCGCCTCCAAGAGGCAATACTTCCCCTCTCGCAAGCAGAGTCTGAGTGTAGCAAAAGCCTTTTAATAACAGAGAGAAACAATGTGGCATTATGTTGGGGAAACACCACCAACAGGATTCATAACACAACCCATGAGCAAAAACCCACCCCAAGCAAATTGGGACTTGTCCTTTTCTTTTGGTTCTTGAGTCCAGCAACCCAAAGTCCCAAAAGTCCAATAACCCCAAAGTCTCTGTCCCTGGTCAGTGCAGCCCCAGAGTTCGAAAGTTTATCTGCAGTTTTACCTCCCAACCTGGGTGGAGATGGGGGGGGCGGGGTTTTAAGGGGCACCTTATGTGGTCCAAAGCCGATTGCCCCAACTCTCCATGGGGCTCTGCTCCACTCCACCAGCTGCTCTGCTCTGCCAGCCATCCCATGAGCCGCTCCAGCCGTCCCGCGAACTGCTCTGCTCCAAGAGCCGCTCTGTTCTGCCAGCCGTCCTGCAAACTGCTCCGCAATATATCTTCAGGTTTCAGAGTAATAGCCGTGTTAGTCTGTATTCGCAAAAAGAAAAGAGTACTTGTGGCACCAGTATGCATCCGATGAAGTGAGCTGTAGCTCACGAAAGCTCATGCTCAAATAAATTGGTTAGTCTCTAAGGTGCCACAAGTCCTCCTTTTCTTTTTGCGAATATATCTTCAGGCTCCCCCACTACTTAACACAACACTCAGTGATTTCAGCTCTTAGTAAGTTTAGCTCTTTTGTGATTTCAGCTTGTAGTAGGGGAGCCTCAGTGCTGGTGCACCATTGGCCCAAAGTGAATTCAGTTCAGCAGCCTGTAACTAGACTCCTAATAGAATCAAAATTAGCTCTGATATTCCACAGTTGAGAGAGGAGGAAGTACAATTAGCATATAAGGCCCTCACCAGCGGGAGCCATGCCACCAAGTATTAATACCTGTCCCCAGCCTCTCTCAATTCACAGAGTTTTGAAACCCATGCCCCTTGCCTACTTAGTTGATGGCAAGTCCCTCCATCATAACAAAAGGCCAAGTACAGTTCCACTGTCCTTGATTCACATAATCGGGATAAAAAGAAAAGGAGTACTTGTGGCACCTTAGAGATTAACAAATTTATTTGAGCATAAACTTTTGTGAGCTACAGCTCACTTCATCGGATGCTATAGCTCACGAAAGCTTATGCTCAAATAAATTTGTTAGTCTCTAAGGTGCCACAAGTACTCCTTTTCTTTTTGCGGATACAGACTAACATGGCTGCTACTCTGAAACATAATCAGGATAATAACAATTTATTCTTCCTGCCCCAATAACAGAGAAACTGGGGATCCCACAGCAGCCAAAGTGACCGTTTGGGCAGCTATGGGCTCATGCTAGGCGGGGTGGGTGTGCCTATGCAAATGAGATCAGCCCCTGAAGTTCTTTTCCACAACTTACCGCCAGATGTCAGGGTGGAGCTCATCCTGACTCTGCTTACACATGATTCAAAATACTGATTAATTGTTCATAGTGCCCTTTGATCTGTTGTTGCTGGTGGTAAAGAGTAAAGCATTTTGAAGAGTTTGAAGCCATGGTTCAATCTCCTTTGCTTGAAGGTGCACACCCACAATTGGTCATAGAATCTCAGGGTTGGAAGGGACCTCAGTAGATCATCTAGTCCAACCCCCTGCTCACAGCAGGACCAATCCCCAATTTTTGCCCCAGATCCCTAAATGGCCCCCTCAAGGATTGAACTCACAACCCTGGGTTTAGCAGGTCAATGCTCAAACCACTGAGCTATCCCTCCCCCCTCCTGTCAATTCAGTCTGTAGTCTAGGGGTATGTCTACACTATGAAATTATTCCGATTTTAAGGAAGTCAATTTTTGGGAACAGATTGTATAAAGTCCACATGCGCATGCGTCCACACTAAACACATTAATTTGGTGGTGTGCGTCCACAGTACCGTGGCAAGTATCGACATTCCAAGCAGTGCACTGTGGGTAGCTATCCCACAGTTCCCACAATCCCTGCTGCCCATTGGAATTCTGGGCTGAGCTCCCAGTGCCTGATGGGGCCAAAAATTTGTTGTGGGTGGTTATGGGTAAATGTCGTCAGTCAACTCTCCCTCTGTGAAAGCAACAGCAGACAATCATTTCACGCCCTTTTCCCTGGATTGCCCAAGCAGACACCATAGCATGGCAAGCATGGAGCCCGTTCAGCTCACTGCAGCAGTTATGACCATTGTAAACACCTTGCGCATTATGGTGTAGTTTATGCAGAACTAGAACCTGAAAAACCAGGTGAGGAGGTGACGGCAGCGCAGTGACGAGAGTGATGAGGACATGGACACAGATTTCTCTAAAACTGCGGTCCCTGGCAATTAGGAGATCATGGTGTTAATGGGGCAGGCTCATGCCATGGAACACTGATTCTGGGCCCGGGAAACAAGCACAGACTGGTGGGACTGCATAATGTTGCAGGTTTGAGATGATTCCCAGTGGCTCCGAAACTTTTGCATGCTTAAGGGCACTTTCATGGAACTTTGTGACTTGCTTTCCCCTGCCCTGAAGCGCAGGAATACCAAGATGAAAGCAGCCCTCACAGTTGAGACGTGAGTGGCAATGGCCCTGTGGAAGCTTGCAACGCCAGACAGCTACCGGTCAGTCGGTAATCAATTTGGAGTGGGCAAATCTACTGTGGGGGTGCTGTGATGCAAGTAGCCAACACATTCATTGAGCTGCTGCTATCAAAGGTAGTGACTCTGGGAAATGTGCAGGTCATCGTAGATGGCTTTGCTGCAAAGGGATTCCCTAACTGTGGTGGGGCTATACACGGAACACATATCCCTATCTTGGGACCGGACCACCAAGGCAGCCAGTACATAAACCGCAAGGGGTACTTTTTAATGGAGCTGCAAGCACTGGTGGATCACAAGGGACGTTTCACCAACACCAATGTGGGAGGGCCGGGAAAGGTTCATGACGCGCGCGTCTTCAGGAACTCTGGTCTGTTTAAATGGCTGCAGGAAGGGATTTACTTCCGAGACAAGAAAATAACTGTTGGGGCTGTTGAAATGCCTATAGTTATCCTTGGGGACCCCGCCTACTTCTTAATGCCCTGGCTCATGAAGCTGTACACAGGCACCCTGGATAGTAATAAGGAGCTGTTCAACTATAGGCTGAGCAAGTGCAGAATGGTGGTAGAATGTGCATGTGAATGTTTAAAAGCGCACTGGCGCAGTTTACTGACTCACTCAGACCTCAGCGAAACCAATATTCCCATTGTTATTGCTGCTTGCTGTGTGCTCCACAATATCTGTGAGAGTAAGTGAGAGACGTTTATGGCAGGGTGGGAGGTTGAGGCAAATCGCCTGGCCTCTGAATACGCGCAGCCAGACACCAGGGCAATTAGAAGAGCACAGCAGGAAGCGCTGTGCATCAGAGAAGCTTTGAAAACCAGTTTCATGACTGGCCAGGGTACTGTGTGACACTTCTGTTTGTTTCTCCTTGATGAAAACCTGCCCTCTTGGTTGCCTCTAAATTCCCTGTAAGCCACCAGCCCTCCCTCCTTCGATCACAGCTTGTTGCAAAGGAAATAAAGTCACTATCATTTAAAAACCATGTATTGATAAATTGATTATAAAAATAGGGAGATAACTCACAAGGTAGACCGGGTGGGGTGTGAGAGGGGGGTAGGAGGGATGGAAAAGGCCACTTCAAAACTTGTTGAATAACAGCCTTCTGTTGCTTGGGCTGTCCACTGGGGTGGAGTGGTTGGGTGTCCGGAGTCTCCCCCCCACCCCCGCCCCGCGTTCTTGGGCGTCTGGGTGAGGAGGCTATGGAACTTGGGGAGGAGGGAGGGTGGTTAAACAGGGGCTGCAGTGGCAGTCTGTGATTCTGCTGCCGTTCATGAACCTCCACCAAACGCCGAAGCATGTCCATTTGATCCCGCAGTAGCCCCAGCGTTGCATCCTTCCTCCTCTGATCTTCCTGCCGCCACCTCAGTCATCCCTCCTGTCCTCACGTTCATTGGCTGCTTTCCTGTACTGTGCTACTGTGTCCCTCCACACATTCTGCTGAGCTCTGTCAGTGCTGGACAACTGCATGAGCTCAGAGAACATTTCATCAAGCGTGCGTTTTTTTCGCCGCCTTATCTGAGATAGCCTTTGGGACGGAGGAGGGAGGCTTGAAACATTTGCAGCTGCGGGAGGAAAAAAAAGGGAATGAAGTATTTAAAAAGATACATTTTACAGAACAATGGCTATACTCTTTCATGGTGAACACTATTCACATTACATAGCACATGTGATTTTGGTACAAGGTCGCATTTTGCATCTTATATTGAGTGCCTGCGGCTTTGGTGTTAGAGATCACACACACAGTGCCAGGCAACAGAATTCGGCTTGCAGGCGGCCATGGTAAGCCATAGTCTTTCGGTTTCTGCAACCTTCATAACAGCAGCGCCCTTCTTTCCCATACCAAGCAAAGCCTGTTGAGTTGGCCATTTAGTCCTGTGGTTTTTGTGTTAACGTGCAGCAGCAGAAACCAAACTAACCCTCCGCCCCATCCACTTCTCTGGGATGATCACTTTACCCCTCCCCCACCACGTGACTGGTATCAGAGAAGATCCCTGCTAGCCAAACGCGAACAGCTCAGCGCCAATGGTCCCCTCCTCCACTGAGTGGCTAACTGTGGGGAGGATTTCTTTTCAGCCACAGGGAAACAGCCCAGTAGGAACGGCCATCTCTGAATGTCTCCGTAATTAACTTCCCATATGTCAACCAGGTTACCATGAACGATATCACTCTCATGAGGATAACACAGAGAGATAAAGAACGGATGTTGCTTGAATGTCAGCAAACACCGGGACCAGACACTGCCAGGCTTTGTCATGCAATGATACCAGATTACTTGCTACTAGCATGGTGTGGTAAAGTGTCCTACCATGGAGAACAGAATAAGGCTGCTCTCCCCAGAAACCTTCTGCAAAGATGTCCCTGGAGGATTTCTGTTCCATACCCAGACACGTTAACAGACTTTTCCAGTAGCTGTACTGGCCACGAATGCATCCCAAGTCCTCAGGGAAAATTAATCATTAAAAAACACTTTCTTTTAAAACGTGTATTATATTTTAAAAGGTACACTCACCAAAGGTCCCTTCTCTGGCTTGGTTGGGTTGGGAGGGTATTTCAGTCAGGGTGATAAAAAGATCCTGGCTGTCGGGGAGAATGGTGTGCTGTGTGCTCTCCTCAAGCTCATCCTCCTCCTCCTCATCTTCCCTGTCCACAAAATCCTCAGGCATGGCGGAGAGTACCCCATCATTGGAGTCCATGGACAGGGGTGGGGTAGTGGTGGCGGCCCCCCCTAGAATTGCATGCAGCTCAGCATAGAAGCGGCATGTCTGGGGCTCTGTCCCAGAGTGTCCATTTGATTCTTTGGTTTTCTGGTATGCTTGTCTGAGCTCCTTAAGTTTCACGCGGCACTGTGTTGCATCCCTGCTGTAGCTTCTGTCGCTCATGGCCTCCAAGATTTTTTGAAATGTTTTGGCATTTTGTCTTTTGGAACGTAATTCTGGTAGCACGGATTCCTCTCCCCATACAGCGATCAGATCCAGTACCTTCCATTTGGTCCATGCTGGAGCTCTTTTGCTATTCTGGGACTGCATGGTCACCTGTGCTGATGAGCTCGCCTGGCCAAACAAGAAATGAGATTCAAAAGTTCCCAGGGCTTTTCTTGTTCACCTGGCCAGTGCATCTGAGTTCAGAGTGCTGTCCAGAGTAGTCACAATGGTGCACTGTGGGATAACTCCTAGAGGCCAATACCATTGAATTGCGTCCACACTAATTCTAATTCGAAACGGCAATGACAATTTCAGCACTGATCCCCTCATTGGGGAGGAGTACAGAAATTGGTTTTCAGAGCCCTTTATGTAAAAAAAAAAAGGCTTTGTTGTGTGGACAGGTGCAAGGTTAATTCGATTTAACTCTGCTAAATCTAACCTAAACTCGTAGTGTAGACCAGGCCTAGGAGTGCTCTTGGCTTCCTTGCTAACGCTGAGCTCTATTAGCAGCATCTGTGAGTAATGCTTTCCATCATGTCCAGTTGGCTAGGAGACTCCGTCCCATCCTGGCAAATGAAGACCTGGCCACAGTTATTCATGCCCCTTTGTCATCTCTCAGCTGGATTACAGCAATGCAATATAGCTGGGCAGGAAGGAATCTAGCATTTAGGAATTTCCAGCTAGTACAAAACACTGCAGCATGTCTCCTCAGCAACACAGACTACTGGGAGCACATGAAACCTGGGCTCCACTCTCTGCAATGGATTTCCATAGAATTTCAAATCAAGTTCAAGGTCTCAGTCCTTATCTTCAGACTGCTCCATGGCCTGAGCCCAGGATACCTAAAAGACTATCTAAAGCTCTGGGACGAAGACCATGGTCAACAACTCTGCTCCTCTCTCACAATGGAGCTCTCGACAATAAAAATAAAGCTCATCTGCGCAGGAGACAAAACTTTCTCCGGTGGTGATCCAGGACTGTGGAATGAACTCCCCTAGGACCATCACAAACTTCACCACCTTCCACTCTAAGTGCAATTTCTTTGGCCTTACCTTCTCTCTTGTCAACTCATAGCAACAAGTACATTTTAAAAAATCCCTGCCAAAGCAAGACATTCCATTGCACATGTTTCTCCCCCTGGGGAGAGGATGAGAGAACAAACAACTTGAGGCAGATGTTAGTTATGCTGCTTAATGTGCTACTGGAAGACGCCCCGATTGTATGGTGAGGAGCATGGACGGCAGGTGGACCCCTCCTTCAGCGAGGCTAGCCCCTGGCCCTGCCCTTTCAGCATGAGGCCCCACCCCCCGGCCAGAACCCTGAGCCCCTCTGGCCTCCCTGTGGCCGAGAAGCCCCCCTCCCCCCCCCGGGGCTGGCCAGAACCCTGAGACCTTGTAGCCTCCCCTCTCGCAGCCAGAGAAGCCCCCCTGGGCTGGCTGAAACCCCAAAACCCCCGTGGGACCAGAGGGACACACGGACCCCTCCTAAAGATAAGGTCAGGGTAACAGGGTGTTGGATTAGAGATGTTTTGATCGAACCAACAAGTATAAGGTAAAGGGTGGTAACTAACCATGTCGGAGGGGCAATAGGTTACTTGTTTGTAACAGTGTATAAAAGAGGGGTCACAGAGGCGGTGTCTTTGTCTGGCCGAGGGGGGAAACAGAAACCATGTTAGTGTACCTTTAATCATTGAGCCGGGGCACTAGGACCATGCTTCATTGACAATAAACCTGGCTGAGTGCCTTCGCTACTGAACCCAGTCTGTGGTCTGCATGTGTGTTCTCTTTATGTGCTGCACCAGCTCCGGCCAGGTAGCCAGTACAGCAGGCTCCCATCGAACTGCCCAAAGCTTTAGGCCTCATACCAGGCCCCTTATAGCAAGCCTCATGTCTCAGGCTCTCTCTTTCTACGTGTCTACAGGCAAAACAAGGTTTACAACAGGAGACAGGATTTTTGAAGCCAGCAGCCTGCCCTGTTGTCTTTCAAGTGTCTGGTTTGGTGTTTTTATGTGGGAAGCCATTTTGTCACCTTCCCTAGACATTGGAAGTATATAATAAACATTCCACTACCCCCACTATAACCTAGATCAATATAGTCACATAGGGAATTCTAATAACTCAATATACAATCACTTCCCCTCACTGATCCAGTTTTCATAAAATGGTTACAGCTCAGTACTCATAACATGACTTACATCCATGCCTGTCACAGAGGCACTTTCATCTTTATTGAGCCATATTCAGGGATCCAAATGGCCCAGCTGGCATGTGACCTGCCTGGGCAGTGAGCTTCACTGTCCGCATGAGGGTGGGGAATGCCACACAGCCCCAACAGGCTTGGGAAGAAGAATTATATACCCCTCACCCTATGGTGATGCAGCTGGCAGGGTCTCCTCCCCTTTCTCGGCTGCCCTGGAGCCTGTGGGGAACCCCCTTCCTCACTACCATTTCACTGCTCTCACTCTCTGACCCATCATTCTCCTTAACCCAGTCTCCATCTTGCTGTCTCTTTCCTCCTTCCTTCCCCTTGTCCTCTCTGGAGCTCAGACCCTCCCCTGCTCCAACCACAGCCTCCCTGCCCTGTGAGCAGTGGGAGACCCTGCACTGGCAGGGAGCAGTACGGGGTGCTTGGTGCACAGCTGAGCTGCTTCCCCTCCAGCCAGGGGCAGGCGCTGCTTTCTTTCTCACACCTACACTCCACTCACTGGAATCAGTTCATTCCTCCCCAACCCCCCATGCCTGAGATGGGGAGCAGCAGTAAGTGCAGCCGCCCAGCACCTCTGGGCCAAGGCCTGTGCTCACACTGCTACTCACCAGTATTGGGGGCCCTGCAGGTCACTTCTGCCCAGCCAGGACACTGAGTGCCCCTCTGCCTTTCTACCCCAGAGGGATGTGTGTGAGGAAGGAGCTCTGCCTGCTGCCACCTCATGCACTGAGGATTCAGTCTCCAGGGGCTGCCCAGCCGACCCTGCAATGGGGTAACTGGGCACTATAAGATGCTCACCCTTATTAGTGCAATAGCAGCACATACCAAGAGACCAGGCTGTGGGGACCTTTCCCCTTTCACACCTTAAGGCCCTCTCTCCAGTGAAGGCTCTAACAACTGTGTGGTCCCCCACCCCACACTGAACATCTCTCATCTGCATTGTGTGTCCCCCTGCTAGGAGCATAGGGAAATACTCACCCTGAGAGCAACAGCTGCTGGTTAGAACAGAGGGTGGGCTGGCAGCCAGGACTCCTGGATTCTATCACCAGTTCTGGGAGGGGAGTGGCGTCTAATGGCCAGGGCGGGGGGCTGAGAGCTAGCACTCCGGAGTTCTAACTCCTACTGACCTGCTGCGCGGCTTTCACTGCCATTTCCCATCTGCGTCTGAGCTTATACATCTGCACAGCAAAGGGAACGGCAGGCTGTTGTGCGAGGCTCCCAAGGAATGGCTAAGCTGCACAGCTCCTTTTGTGGGAGGCACGAGCACTCTAAACTGGGTGTGTGGGGATTAACTGGGAGTCATGGCTGCCAGGGGCTCTGACTGTCTGAGGCCAGGGAGGAGCTGATGCCCCCAACCGAGGCTGCTGCCCAGCACCAAACCATTGGATAAGCAGGCACATGTCAGGAATTGGATATGGCTTGCAGAGGCCAGGCTGTAACAGGAGCCCTCTGTTCTTTCCCTTCCTTTCATCACCAAGGAAGAGGAGATGAGCTTACAGCGTGTGGTGTCTGGTGGCCTCCCCCAAGCCACAAAGGGGCTGGCAGGATCAGACTGGGGGAACAGGGTGGGCAGGAGTCAGTGATGGGACAGGATGGCTTTCATTATCGTTATGTCACCCACATTGTTGATTGTCAAGGTTCAACCTCACTCATTGCCTCAGCAGCACTTCCCATGCCCCGCACCCAGCAGGATCCATTCAGTTCTGCAACCAGCAAGGATCCAGGGTGAGAACCTCTGGCACACAGCAAAGATTTAATCTGTACCCCAGGTCAGATAGCAAGTGAGTGGCAGAGTTGGGGATAGAACCCACAAGTCCTGACTCTCAGCCCTCCATTAGAAACCACACCATGCCCTAGCTGACTTTCTGGGGATTTCAACCTTGGTCTTTCCCTGTGCCTGCACCAATATCCCTGCTGTATCCCCTCTGCTCAGAGCTCAGACCCAGCATTTCTCTAACTGCCTTCAGCAAGCAAAGCACTGAGTGATCATCTATAACCCACACGTCCACAGCTGCAGGCAGCCTTCCCATCCCCTACCCACTACTCTCAATCCACCAGCATCTCAGCAGCTGTCCTCAGAGTTTATCTGTTAGGGACATTGCAGCCAAAGAATTCACCCCTGTATTGGGGAGCAACAGGGCTTACAGCCCATCCACTGGAGGAATGATCCCCTGGTTGGATCCAACTCCCTGTCAGGGAGCATAGGGGCTCCCAGCTCTTCCACAGGGGGACAATTCCCTGGATGGATCGAACCTCCCTTGTCATGAAGAGTGCTGTGTCGCACAATGGACACTAGGGGACAGCAAAAAGAAAAGGAGGACTTGTGGCACCTTAGAGACTAACCAATTTATTTGAGCATAAGCTTTCGTGAGCTACAGCTCACTTCATCGGATGCATAAAGTGGAAAATACAGTGAGGAGATTTATATACACACAGACCATGCAAAAATGGATGTTTACCATACACATTGTAAGGAGACTGATCACTTAAGATGAGCTATTACCAGCAGGAGAGTGGGGTTGGGGGAGAGAAAACCTTTTGAAGTGATAATCAACGTGGGCCATTTCCAGCACATTTCCAGGAGTTAACAAGAACGTCTGAGGATCAGTGGGGGGAAGGGGGAGAGAGGAGGAATAAACAAGGGGAAATAGTTTTACTTTATATAATGACTCAACCACTCCCAGTCTCTATTCAAGCCTAAGTTAATTGTATCCAGTTTGCAAATTAATTCCAATTCAGCAGTCTCTCGTTGGAGTCTGTTTTCGAAGTTTTTTTGTTGAAGAAGTGTCACTTTTAGATCAGAAATCGAGTGACCAGAGAGATTGAAGTGTTCTCCGACTGGTTTATGATTGTTATAATTCTTGACATCTGATTTGTGTCCATTTATTCTTTTACGTAGAGACTGTCCAGTTTGACCAATGTACATGGCAGAGGGGCATTGCTGGCACATGATGGCATATATCACATTGGTAGATGTGCAGGTGAACGAGCCTCTGATAGTG